AAAAAAAAAAAAAAAAAAAAAAGAAATGTGACTTGTCTGAGCTAAAATGTGCTGTTTGCAATTGTCAGTTGCAAAGACATGGAAACAATTTAAACACTCATCAACCGATCAATGGGCAATAAAAATGTGGTATCTATACACCATGGAATACTATTCAGTTATCAAAACGAACGAGGTAATAAATTTTACAGCAACTTGGATGGAATTGGAGACCCATCATCGTAAGTGAACTAAATCAGGAACAGAAAACTAAGCACCACATGATCTCACTTACAAATGGTAGCTAAACTGAGGACCCGCAAAGGCATAGAGAATGATAAAATGGAAGTTGGAGACTCAGAAGTGGGAGGGGGAGGGAGTGGAGGGATGAAAAAATCACCTATTGGGTAACGTGCACAGGTAGGGGTAGTGGGTGCACTTAAAGCCCAGGCTTCTTTGACACTGTACAATGCAACCACATAGCCCAAAACTATTTATACCCCCTAAAGCTATTGAAATAAAGAATAAATCAAATGTGCTGTTTGTATAAAGTATACACCAGATTTTGAAGACAGTACCAAAAAAACAAAAAACAAAAAACAACTGGTCACAGTGGCTCACGCTTGTAGTCCCAGCACTTTGGGAGGCTGAGGAGAGAGAATTGCCTGAGCCCAGGGGTTCAAGAACAGCCTGGGCAACATGGCGAGACCTTGTCTCTACAATAAATCAAAAATTAACTGGGTATGATGATGCACGCCTGGGGTTCTACTTGGAAGGCTGAGGCGGAAGGATCGCATGAGCACAGCAGGCCAAGGCTGTAGTGGTTGTGTGCGTGCCACCACACTCCAGCCTGGATAGCAGAGTGAGACTCCAACTCAAAAAAAAAAGTATAGTTCCTCATCAATGATTTATTAATATTGATTACATGTTGAAATGATAATGTCTTACATTTATTGGGTTAAAACAGAGTATGTCATTAAAATTAATTTCACATGTTTATTAGTACTTCTTAAAATGTGGCTACTAGAAAATGTTAAATAATGTATGTAGCTTGCATTATATTTCGACTGGAAGGTGCTGCTCTTGACTGTACACATATGACCTCACACCCTTACAGGCATGACCAGAGTAAGTCAGGGGCCACTTAATATGAATTTATTCATATTAAACTCTGTTTTCAGAAATGTACTTGCTAGGAACTGAATTAAAATATTATGAGTGTATACAATAGTTCAATAAATTGTAGGCATTCACAACTTTATTCCCAAAGACAGGGAGTTAATATGACTTTTTGTCTTATTGGCCTTTTGGTAGGCAGGGCTGAAATTTTATAGACTTTACAAAAAAATATGTTCCAGAGGCATCAAAAGCACCAAGGGACAAACAGGTTTTTGGAAGGAGAAAAGGTTTTTTAATTGTCTAGCTCTTTCCAATTTTTTTCTACCTCTGTTTTTTAGTATTTTTTTTTTTCATATGGGGCTTGGAAAACAGAATAGAGGACCAAAAAAAGTACCTCCAGCAAAGTCAAAGAGGGCTGAATAAAAGCTTCTCTGTAAGGACGTGTGGGTGCCAGACCACAAATGGAAAGGAGCCTTCATGCTCTGAAATGCCTTCCTTCCCAGTGTGGTCTCCAAACTGCTTTTAGGGTGCTCTCTGTGACTTGCTCTCAAGTAGACATTGTGCTTTGTGATGGTTAAAAAGCCATCTCCTCTTTTACTAAGAGTTTTAAAAACCCTTTCCCCTAAGAATCCCCGACCTCTTACTTCATCGTGTTAACTGTCTCCAGGTGCTATGCAGAAAATGGCTTGGGAGACAGGGTCATCAAGGCAGAAGAAGTTGGAGCAGAATGCTTTACCCTGTGCTTAACGGAGGTCCCATGCACATAGTGGTGAGCTCCCAGGCCCTGCCAATGCCCTGGCCTCCTCTGACTGTGTGTACTCAGGAACTATCTTTCCCCACAGGGACCGGGTTCCCCGAAACCAAGGCAAGCCCCAAAGTGTTGATAGTCAGCATTCTCTCGATGGATTTGAAGTAGTTCAGAATTCCTAAGCAGAGCTGCTGAAACAGAGAAAGAACAGAATCAGGACCCTACCCTTGGCCTACACACCTGACAGAGTCACATGTGATGGTGACCTCCAGGGGCGAAGATCAATCTCCTACTGCAGAGAAAGGAACACACCACCCCAGAAAGGGGTTGATTCCATGCAAACAGTCAGAACACAGGACAAAAGCATAAAAGTGCTCTGCTCCATTCGAACAGGAGAGAAGCCCCCTTCCTGGACAACCAGGTGTTTCTGACGCCATCCACCTACCTGCACTTCTCTGATGTGAAGGTGGCACAGATACAGAAAGGACAGACAGGCCCCTCTCCTTAGGACAGGGTTCCTGTCACCGGGCTCAGTTCCATCATCCAAAGCCAGCAGATGCAGGGCCATCGCATAGCTGTACCTTTAGCAGGCAGGAGAAGTATAATAAATGTCTTTCACCTCTAAGTGCTTCAGAAAATCCTCATACACCAAGTTGAAATCATTTTATTTAACTGCAGGGTGTTTCACATTAGTACCCTTTTTAAATGTACCGAAGAGGAAATAATTATATGTATAAATATGAAAAGAAATTTATCTTAGCAATGACTCTCGTTAAAAGCACAGTCCTAGGGCGAAACATTAATTTTGTTGCCTGACTTGTTTTAACAGTCTTGCTTTCATTCTGACTTCAAGTATTTTTGAGTTAACGTGTAAACTACACGTTAATCAGTCACTCCGTCTTCCCCATAGTGTTTTAATCCATTTCCTTGACTTACCAATAAAATGATTTAATTTTACCTTGTCTCTTTTTTTCTGCTTGAGAGGCCCATCTGCATGTTGGCTAGGACTTATTTGCGCTAGGTTATTTTCATTTTGTTCCACTGAAAGGTCATCATCCTTCGTATTTTCATTCTGTCAAAAAACTAGCATTCATCGAAATACGTAAACATTTGCAATGGTACCAGCAAAATCACAGCCATGTCATTGCAAAAATAAACTTCATAATCCAAAACTATTTAGATGAACAAGTAGAAGGAGCACCTTAATCCATTTCGACCTGATATATACAAATCTGAATTTCTATAATAAATTAGGGACATCACTGTTTTTTTCTTCTATTATCTGTTGTTTTTTTTTAAAAGATGTAGGGTACAATTCAGGATTAGGTATACAAGTGGTCAGCATTCAGGTAAAGTTTGGGCCTCCCTTTGGTCCCCACTTTGCCTGGTTTGAGATCAGGTACACTTATTGATATTGTGCCCCACCCCCCAGCCCCTGTAGTATCCTGCTACTGTCAATCCCTTTCTTATAGCATTATGGTAAATGTTCAGGGTCCACTTATGAGTGAGAACACATGGCACTCAATTCTTTGTTTCTTGAGAGATCACTGAGTATGATAGACTCCAAATCTATCCAAGTTGCTACAAAGTTCATAAATTTGTCTTTCTATATGGCTGCATAATATTCCATTGTGTATATGTACCACATTTTTCTGTCACTGTTCTTGCTAAACAAGTCTTTGTTTTACAAAAGTACTCATGGTTTTTAAATAGTAGCTGTCCACCTCTCTGCCTTTTATGTAGTTCACTTTACAGAAAGTTGACACAAGAAGGTATGTGTTTGGAAACTTGAGCCTCTCCTGCCTAGTTTTGCTCTACACTGAGAGACATCAATGGATGAAAACCTTTCTAGGCCAGGCATGGTGGCTCACACCTGTAATCCCAGCATTTTGGGAGGCTGAAGTAGGAGGACTGCTTGATCCCAGGAGTTTGAGACTAGCCTAGGCAACATAGCAAGACCTCATCTCTAAAAAAATTTTAAAAATTAGCCAGGTGTGGTAGCACATACCTGTAGTCCTAGCTACTGGAGAGGTTGAGGCAGGAGGAGTGCCTGAGCCCAGGAGTTTGAGGCTGCAGTGAGCTGTGATGGTGCCACTGCACTCCAGCCTGGGCGATGGAGCAAGACCCTGTCTCAAAAACAAAAGAAAAGAAAAGAAAAGAAAAGGAAAAGGATGCAGTCATGCACCCAGGGCTCCAGGGAAAACTGAGGAAGAAAAGTTCCATGTATGGCCCTGCCCCCGCCCCCTGGGCAGCCTCTGCTTGGATGTCCTCTCTGCCCGTCCCTGGGCACACACCTTATTCCCATGAGGTATGCTCTTTCACAGTGACCCCGATCCCCACAAAGACACTACGTGGCAGTGGCTGAGGCTGGACCCCACTCCAGGTTACTCATCTTCTAAGAGTTGGTTCTTGGAATTCCAACACGTCCTCACAACAGTAATTGCTGGCTGTTAACTAATAGCCATTTTCTTCTTCCACAGTAACAGAAAGTTTATCTCAGCATCTGACCACTCAGCTAAATACGTTTTAAGCCTCTCTTGCAACTGTGTGACTAAGGGACCGAGAGTGAAGGGGCCATGTGGCAACTTCCGGGAATTTCTGGCCAAGGTAGCGTCCCCATTCTCCTTTTTCATCCTTTGAACGTGACCGTGACAGCCAGAGCTCCAACTCAGGCCATGTGGGGATCTTGGCTATGGAGCCACTTTGTTGGAGCTTCAGGATAGATAGAGCTGAGCATCCTGGGGGCTCCATGGTACAGAGCTGTCACACTTGCTCTGTACATTCTGCCCTGAGATGTTACTATGGGGGGGGGTGTGAGGGGGAGTTTTCAACTCCTTTAATCCTCTAATTTTTTATTTATTTTTATTTAAAATAGAGACAAGTTCTCATTATCCTGCCCAGGCTGGTCTCGAACTTCTAGACTCAAGCAATCTTCTCACCTCGGCCTTCCAAAGTGCTGGGATGAGGAGCATGAGTCACTGAGCCCAGTCCCTCTGCCATTTTATCTTACCATGACCAACAGTCAAACCTAATTTTCACTAATACAAGTCCCTAAGATACTCAAGGTGGATGATCAGACTTTATGACAGGAAGCAGGGAAGGAAAATTTTGACAGGGATGTTAGGAAGAATAGGTGAGACAGAACTTTGTCCCATCTAGTGGCATTAAGTGGCTGGCCATTCTGCCTGTGAGTGGAGTCAGTTCCTGTGTGTTCCATGTCAGTGTACACATCAGTGTATTTCTGTGTAAATTTCCCACAAGTCTGGGACTGGAAAAGACCCTTGGAGGTAACATGGTACACTCCTGTTCCTTAAAACAGAAACACACGATCATCATCCCAAGGTGAAGAAAGTCTCTGTTTTCTAAAATCTGTGGGCAAACATACTCTATGAAGGAGCTGAACTTGACCATCCCTATGAATTTGGAGCAAGAGGAGTCCCACGGAGTCTTTTGCCTGGTGGGTCCGTTGTGCTTTCGAGTGACAGTCCAGCATTGCCCAACATGGTCCCAGGAGGAAGGCTTTGAGCCACATCTTTCCTCTGATGGGACTGTGACTTTTCCAGCTGCTTCTAAAATTACCCAGAATGACATGGGATGGAACAGAAGTGATGTCAAGTTCTAGTGAAGGACATCTGAAGGAGTGACAGAACAAACCACCACGGGCTGCTGGACCGGTAGGTTGCCTGGAAGAAAGGAAGGGAGCACAGAAAGGCTGCGAGGAGGAAGAGGAGAGAACCCACATCCTCCAGGAAACAGGAGCCAACCACAGCCCACAAAAGGAAGCAGCTTGGGAAATACCGGAATGCTGGGTGTGTGTTCCCCTAAGGGAACTGGAGACAGGGCACATCAGTGGCAGGACTGCTCAGAACCCAGCGTGTGAGCACCCTCTGTGTTCATTCTCTCTTCCTGGTGGGTTAAGCCTCTGACCTCTACTCTGCCTGTGGTTCTTTGCCAGCATGACTGACTTTGTAGATTTCACAGTTCTGAGATTTCCACTGATGGCAAATCTCATTTCCTTCTGGGAAGTTGGCAGGAGCAGTGGATCAGGAGGTAGGGTGGGAGGAATAACTAGAGGAAAATTATGTATTCCTCACATGCAAGATGGTTCTTCAGCTTACATGTTTTTATCCACAGAAAAAAAAGACTAGAAGGATATATACCAAATATTAAAAAGACTGTGGCTATGTTGAGTGGGACAAAAAGGGTGATGTTATTTTCTTCATGTTCTTTTTTATAGATCCAAATTTTCCTGTGATAAATACATGTTACTATTGTCATCAGAAATTTTTTTTTAAATCTTGTTTCATTTTAAGTTGGGATTTTCCCTCTGTACCCAGGCTGGAGTGCCGTAGCACCAATCACCTCAGACTAGATCTCCTGGACTCCGGCGATCCTTCTGCCTCAGTCTCCCAAGTAGTTGGGACTACAGGTTCATAGCACCACGCCTGGCTCATTTTTTGATTTTCTGTAGAGACGAGGTCTCACTATGTTGCTCAGGCTGATCTCGAACTCCTGGGCTCAAGAGAGTCTCCTGCCTCTGCCTCCTAAAGTGCTAGGATTATAGGCGTGAGCCACTGCACCTGACCAGAAATTGTTTATTTTTAAAAGTTAAGTGCTCTGTTGAGTTAGGTGAAAAGAACCAGAAAAAGTATTTATGTTGGCCTGAATTTCTTGCACATTGGCACTATTGTGTGCAACACCATTTTTGTGCACTCACACCTGGTACTCTATGGTATTATCTCTGGAAATGGAGGGGAGCCATAATAGAGACAGGGAAACCAAGGGCTATCTCCTCCTCTCCTCGGTGTGGCCAGTGAGAAGAGGCAAGGTGAGAGGTCCTGCCACTGCTTCCTGACCCTGCAGCCTGGACGTAATGTTTTCTGCCACTTCACTACTCCATAAAGTTAAAGAACAGTGACCAATTCAAACCACATCTTTAAAAATACTGCCAAGTACAGTGATTCATGCCTATAATCCCAGCACTTTGGGAGGCCAACGTGGGAGGATTGCTCGAGACCAGGGGTTCGAGACCAGACTGGGCAACTTAGCCAGACCTCTAAAATAAATTTAAAAATTAGCCGGGCATGGTGGGATGCACCTGTAGTTCCAGCTACTTGGAAAGCTGAGGTGGAAGGATCGTCTGAGCCCAGCGGGTTGAGATTGCAGTGGCCGTGAGCATGCCACTGCACTCCAGCCTGGGTGGCAGAGTGAGACTCCAACCCAAAGAAAGAAAGACAGAAAGAAAGAAAGAAAGAGAGAAAGAGAGAGAAAGAAAGAAAGAAAAAGAAAGAAAGAAAGAGAGAGAGAAAGAAAGAAAAAGAAAGAAGGAAAGAAGGAAAGAAAGAGAAACACATATGCATACAAGGAAGTATGTACAAGAAAGGTAGGCATAGTTTTTAATAGGGGAAAAATAGCAACAACTGTCTATGGGGTCGGGGAGGGGCTCTGTAATCTGTGCTGTACAATAAAGTATACTTCAGTCATCAAAAAGTACAGCACTCTCCAAGACATATTGTTGAGTGAAAAAACAAGTAGCAAAATGATATTTACATAGTGTGATATATCATT